TGTAAGATTTAGTAAGTGTTGTTGGTTTGGAAATGATGCAGACAGATCATGAAGCACAGAGACATCATAATGTTGAATTGGTTAAGATGCAAGAGGAGTCATCTATTAGGAAAGAGAGAGCAAGAATTTCCACAGAAGAGCAGATCCAAGCTCAGCAACGACAGACTGAGAAAGAGAGAGCTGAACTTGAGCGAGAGACGATTCGTGTCAAAGCCATGGCTGAAGCTGAAGGTCGGGCTCACGAAGCCAAACTAACCGAGGAACAAAACAGGAGGTTGCTTATGGAAAGGATAAATGGTGAAAGGGAGAAGTGGCTTGCTGCGATCAACACAATGTTTGGTCATATCGAAGGTTTGGAAACTGATAAAGTCGAGGAACATTATATCTTCTTGCTTCTGATTTTGAAAAATGCGAAAAAATAATCTCTTTTCCTTTTGTTTGCTTCTATATGAAATTGGCAGGGGGATTCAGGACCTTATTAACCGATCGAAATAAGCTGATTATGACTGTTGCAGGAGCTACCGCATTAGCTGCAGGGATTTACACAACTCGGTATGGATCTCCTAACTAAACAAGTTATTGAATATTATGGATTTTCTGAACCAGTCTGGTTTGGCTCGAGTGATGTTAGATTCTTTTATCATTTTCTAATCTAGTCTATTTCCTGATTCTTTGGTGTTTAACAGTGAAGGAGCTAGAGTTAGTTGGGGATATATAAACAGGATACTTGGACAACCATCACTTATCCGAGAATCTTCCATGGGTAGATTTCCATTCGCAAGCTCAATGTCTCAATTGAAGAACAGAATCACAGGGGCAGCAGTAGCAGAAGGGGGAAAGCCGCTTGACAATGTTATTCTCCATCCTTCTTTAAAGAAGCGAATCGAACATCTCGCTAGAGCTACATCGAATACCAAATCCCATCAAGCACCATTCCGTAATATGATGTTTTACGGATCTCCTGGTACCGGTAAAACTATGGTTGCAAGGGAAATAGCTCGTAAATCGGTAGGTTATCATCAAAACTATGGTAGTTATGTTAATGCAGTCTTTATGAGTTCTTACGCGCAATTATCTGGTGCAGGGTCTGGATTATGCTATGATGACAGGAGGAGATGTTGCTCCCTTGGGATCACAAGCTGTTACTAAAATCCATGATATATTTGATTGGGCTAAGAAATCGAACAAAGGTTTACTTCTTTTCATAGATGAAGCCGATGCTTTCCTCTGCGAGTAAGCTCTCTTTCTCCTCTTTTCTAACAGTAAGATGACAAAAAGATTGCAACTTTTTCTCTGTGTTTAACCAAAGATGGACTCCTTTTCTTTATGCAGGCGTAACAGCGTTTACATGAGCGAGGCTCAGCGTAGTGCTCTAAACGCTTTGCTGTTCCGAACTGGTGACCAATCCCGAGATATTGTTCTTGTCTTAGCTACAAACAGACCTGGAGATCTTGATAGTGCGGTTACAGACAGGATCGATGAAGTCATTGAGTTTCCACTTCCAGGTGAAGAAGAACGTTTCAAGCTTCTCAATCTCTATCTCAACAAGTACTTAAAGAAGAGTGAAGACAACAAAGACACAAAACCAAAATGGAGTCATTTCTTTAAGAAGCTGTCACATAAGATTACCGTTGAAGAAGATTTAACCGATAAAGTGATTTCCGAGGCTGCTAAGAAGACAGAAGGATTCTCTGGCCGTGAAATCGCAAAGCTTGTGGCCGGAGTACAAGCCGGAGTGTACGGTCGAGAGGATTGTGTATTGGATTCACAGCTTTTTAAAGAGATTGTTGAGTATAAAGTTGAAGAACATCACCAAAGGCTTAGGCTTGCTTCTGACGCTTGTCAACCATTAGCCTTCTCTTAGTCATTTTGATTTGATTATATAAATTTTTTTTTTTCTGATTCAATTCAAAAGTTATCTTAAATTTTTAAAATATTGTGATAAATTGAAATTTTAGACTAAACATGTGTTGTCTTTTTACTTGTATACAGAGGATTACTTTCCTTTCTATCAAATTTTTATTTACAAATATATTTGTATTTTACAATAATAGATTTTTAGAAAAAATGAAATTTCCACTTTCAACTCTTCAATTGGTTGAGTATTAAAATCCAACATTTCTGAAAAACTGTGATGTTATCAAATGTGGAAGATAATTAATACAGAGATATGCCAAAAGGTTAAAAACACAAATCTAGTTTTGTAAAAAAACTGGCAAAATAGATTTGTTTTTATTGGGGCTAAATCACACAGATAAAAATGAATTCTAAAGTTATATTAAGAAAATAAAATTTTATT